AAAGACCAACAATGCTGATGCTGTTGTGAAATCCCTGTTAATAACAAATCTTTGCATGAACTTGTAAACGCTTGGCTTGTGGGTGGTGATCCTATCTAATCCCAAATATTTTACATAACCAAATGCCGTCGGATGATGATGTCGTTTCCCGTTTGTCTCAGTTCAAGTGTGAGGCCTGTGTCAGACAGAGACATGGCCGGCAGGGAAGCTTCAGCCACAGCTTTCCCGGGCATCAAAAGCAGACAGGCCTTTTTCTAGACTAATGCAGCTGATCTGAGTTGTAGTGAAGTCAGGGTGGAGAAACGGGTTATTTTAAACTTGCCAAGGTCAGACTTTAAATTCTTAAATATTGATGAATTCACTGTGATACCTTAAATTTCACTTCCACCTGACGAATATGAAATCAAAAGTTGTCCAGTTTGCTGTGCTTGTTTTGTGGTGTGACAGAGGCCCTTTTATCACAACGCTTTCCTTCACAACCAATTTCTGTTTTTAATTTGGGATTACACTGATAGCTACTCATCATCCTGTAATGTGATTGTATTGTGTCAGGTATAAGCCTGCGACCGGTTTGCTCCTCAGGAATATCAATGAAAAGGATTTGGAAATTACAAATTGAAATATGTACATAAATTTGTAAGTGATTATGAAGGTGTAGTGCCATCGAAGAGCGCTGCATCTATTACTGGTCATTGCGAAGAGGTGGAAATAACTTAAAAACTACGGCTAATATTGCCATTTATTAACAGGTATCCCCACATGTGTTTACAGGTGTTACAAGCATGCACTCAGCCCTAAGCTCGCAGTCCTCCATAGACAGTGAGCTCAGCACATCAGATGACTCCATCTCTATGGGCTACAAGCTGCAGGACCTCACGGATGTCCAGATCATGGCTCGCCTACAGGAAGAGAGTGAGTAGAGGGATCACATGTAAATAGGATTGCATTGAAGTCATGGCCTTTGTAGACCGCAAAGACCAAACCAAACGTTGTGAAATGACACACGGAATTCTTATTTGCATCACCAGTTGTTCCAAGCGCTGCCCCTTTCACCTGGCAACCTTGACAGCAGCAAAGACACATTCATAACATCTGTATTATGAGCTGTTTGACTGAGTTGAAACCAGTTCTTGCATTTAAAGACACAATTCTCAGCACTGTTTCATTTGGAGAGTGCTCGATATTTTGGAAATATCCCAATGAATCAAGGCATAGGTTGGGTAAAGAAGGCTGCATTTCTTGACTGCACTTGAAGGAGCTTTTTAAATGAAACATTCTTGTTGCACCACTTTAAAGCATCTGGTTTTCAGATGCAGTCTATAAAGCATGTGGGCCCTGAACTGAGAGCGAACTAGAATTTAAACTTGCATAGTTCGACTGTGGCTAAAATTTTCTTACACGCCATTAAGTCAGATAATTTGACTTTGTTTTAAGCTCTGCATTTTTTGCTTTGTTTTAACAATTTTGGTGACAGGTCTGAGGCAGGATTACGCTTCCAGCTCAGCGTCTGCATCACGCCGCAGCTCCACAGCATCTCTGCAGTCCCTGCGCCGGGGCGGAACATACAGCGACCAGGAATTTGACAGTTACAGCCTGGAGGACGAAGAGGATGAGTTCTCGTCCATGCCCCAGCGACGACACCGCTTCACCCCTTCGCCGTTAGGCTCACCCCGGTGCCTCTCTCCCTCCACCTCCAACCACGGTCAGGAATACAGCAGCCGACTCGGGGCTCCACGCACAAGAACACCCAGACGGTCTCTCCAGGGCCCCAGTGCAGAGCTGCTCAAATTTGCCAAGAGTGAGGGTAAGCTCAAACCAGTAGTAATTCTGCATTTTTACCCAGCATCCAGAAGATCACCACGACGATCACAGAGATTCTTCTGCCAAACTTGTGATGATTCATATACTGCTGTTGTTAAATGCATTGTGTGTGTGTGGTTCCAGAGGAGTTGAGGCACAGCATGCCTAATCTGGCCCCCCGCACCAGCCTACGTTCCCTGGAAGCTGTCAGAAACAGCCGCAGCATGGAGGCTAACCTCCAGAGCTCTGGCAACCGCATGTCTCACCTGACACACTCCCCCTCCACAGGTAACCCTGCCCTCCTCACCTGATCCCCACCTCTCCTCTGATATAACAGCACCTGCATTTCCTTGCATAAAGCCCCATTTAGTGCCACTTTAATCCTACCACCTGACCTCTTCTTAACCTCTGCATGACCACAGGTATGTTTTGACCAGTGTTCAGGAGGATTTTACTCTGAAAAATGTAACCGCCAGCGGCTCTATGGAACAGGTTTTATTTTATTTTTTTTTTAATGAATAGGTTTTCTCATCTAATGCACGCATGCAGGTGGCACAATACCAATGGATTCATACTATAACAAAGAAACAGGGCGGTTTTAAATTCTTTTCAGCATCATTAGGGCAGAACATTGTTTGAATATAATAAAAGAAACTACACAATTGTTCAGAATGGTACCATGAGCAACAATACTACATGCCAACAGATGTTGTGTGCTCTCATGACTTTTATCCCATAGAACAAAAGCAAACTGTAGACAATAATATATAGATTAACAAATACAACTTGTATATTTTTAAAGGACATTGACTTGAAAAATCTAATGTTGCTCTGTTAAATGAAAATGGATGTATTGAGCTAAGGTGGACAATGACAAAGAAGTCACCATCTGTAACCAGCTTATACTACAGCTAGGTCAGAGTTGATTACATTTACACAGAGTATCTCAGTTGTGTCCTCCTTCTTCCCTGACCACTCATCTTCCCTGACATTTCCCAGCTAATGTACAGGTAATCCTCTTTTCACTCACCTGCTACATGATTATTCTACAACTCCGGCGTTGTCCTTGGCATTTCAGTACTGCTACTCATAAGCTTGTCTGCAACTCCTATATACCACAAATGGATTTCAACCACAGTGCATTTATATTTTTGTATATAATAATGCCATTCATTTGAGTTCCCAACATATCTATTAGAAGCAATTTGGGTCAGGGTCCTGTTATACCACTGTGCCTTTCCTCCACTCAAGGTATGGCTTGTAGTCGGCTGCGTGGCAACGGTCAGTCTCCTCTCTCCCTGCGGACTCCAGTTAAAGCCGTCGCTCCTGTAGGCTCCATGGCAGCTGGTCGTCAGCCTTCCAGAGGTCTGCCTGTCATCCAAGGGCCACCTGCAGGAGCGGGCCGCAGGGTCCAGTCGCCGGGTTCTGCTAACGGAGGAGCCTACGTACCCGGAAGGGCCTCAGCTGGGGGAGGAAGGCCTGTAGTGGGGCGGGGTCAGGCTGTGCCATCAGCCTCCACGAGAAGTAAACTTTCACACCCTCCCAGAAGGTGAGCGCTCAAAATAGAAACTGTTAAGACGTGGGGCAATGATGAAGAACATGTCCTTTCATTGAGAGTACATATTTCTATCCCATTCAGTTCATTACAGTTTGATATTTGGCCTCTTGTGTAAATTGAGTTTAACTTGGTATTTTATTCACAGGTCTTTGGGAATGACTAAAATCTCAGACGAATCCTGGAAAGACGGCTGTTACTGAGTTTTGCCGGCGATGAAGGATGTTCACTGCTGCAACCGTCACCTGACTTCTCCGTGTTACCTCTCAATACAAAGGAACGACACCCACTGTGTCCACAAATGTGTTACACAACCTCTCGGTCCCCCATTTCAGACTAGAGCGCTGGGCTGCACTGGATTTGTAGTTAATCTCTTTCCCTCGCATGAAACATTGTCAACCCACACAAAGAGAGGATGTGTAGGCAGACGAGAAGACACACACGCACACTCCACTTGTTATATGGACCAACTCGGAGCTTCCAGAAGATTCGTTTGTGTCAATTTTACTTATTTTTCTATGGTAATTGTGAGAAACTGCTGGAATATTAAGGGGTTGTATTACTGTACTGTTGATGTAATTGATATGAAGACAATTTAAATGAAGATATTGCTGGTTTGTTCATTTTTCTGTGTGAATTACTACTAGATGAAGGTGCTGACTGTTGCATGCTTGGTTTTGTTGTTTTCCCTTTGCCCAACAGCCTTTTCATCATTATCTAACTGCAATATGACAGATTTTCCATGTGTTCCGCAACGATCTGTGCGAATTTATGAATGTTCGAGTGGTTCATAGTGAAATTACCTTTAGATTTGTGCTGTAGTTGTGTTTTGCTATTTGCTTACACAGCAATGCAACTCCTGTAAACCACACTGCCCTTATGAATCATATAAAAAGAAGAAATATGGTTTGTGCCAAGGTGCATTACAGCTGCAACTCTTTAATTCCAGAAGTAATCTTGTGTCAATAAAGGTACTGTTACAGTACTGAGTTTTCCAGGCATTTTTACTGCATATCTAGAGGTGGATTTGAACGTTTGGAAACCACTGTAAGACAGAAAAAAAATTATGCACAAAGGCCTTGTGCCTTAGTCAGCTATGCACCCTCATGAAGAGTGCCTCTGAAAATTAGGAGCTGTAATGAAAATGAATAATAAAGTCTACCCTGAAACTGTAATTGTATTTGTGGTTATTTTTAATCCATGCATGCAAAGTCCGAGTGTATTTGCGTTAAAGGCTAATTAGTTACACTATGCAGCACAAGCAGTTCCGTCATCAGATCCCGGATATTTCCTGGGTGTGCGACCAACCACTTGTCAAAAGAGTGCTACCCACCCCTTGTGACAAAATGGCCTACAGGCCTCGTCTGCGCATACAAAGTCTGAGCACACAGTGTGCAAGCACATATATTTTTTTTTAATTGCTACTGTGATAATGTTTGGATTTTGTGTCTTTGAACCTGGCGTAAATATGTCCCCATTAAGAGAATGGCTGTGTTAATGTAACTCTGCTCTCTTATGCATGACGCAAATAGTAAGGGATCAGCGGTAAACGAGGCCACGCATTGTCTGCCCCCCGCCCTCCCTCTGCTCGTCAGGAAGCAAGCTGATTGGCCGAGGCCTAGCAAAGAGCGCCCGGGGATCCAAAACTGCAGGCCGCACTTAGCTTACCGTCAAAAATAAACCAAAACAATAACAGACAAATCTGAGAAGGGGGCGAAACGCCGGTAGAGTCAGAAGACGACGATATCAGGTAAAATTATTTTGAATCGATCAAAAAGGCACACGGAATAAGACGCAAGGGCCCAGTCGGACGTAGCGGGCCTCTTTCAGCCTTTTGGAAAAACAACATGGAAGATAATGCGGCACGAGCTGCTCCACCTAGCTTAGCAGGCTAGCTAGCCAAACGGACGGCCGTCGTCGTGCCAGATGAAGCGACGCGCCAAAAAAAAAAATCATGAAGCATCTTAGTTTGTTGCTTGTGCTAATGGCTTTGATCATATAGTGACGTTGTGTGTAATTGGTGCTTACATCGCCGCATTTTAACGGTTATCATGTCCCTTGTGTTAGCCTTTATGCTAAAACAAAATGGCGCTCGGAGATTCAGCCCTAGCTTGCTTGCTAGTTAGCTCCGGTGGGTGGAGGGCGGTAGCCGCCTTAGTATGCATTGCATAATTGCCGTACTTTAATTTGGCGGCCAGAAACTCTGAGCAGTGTGTTTTTGTGCAAAGACCCTATAATATTAGACGCTAGAAACGATTAGTGTGAGCACAGTGTTCGTCTTTATCCCAGAAAGACATATCCGTGAAAACCAAACACCCATAACGTCACCACAGACCATTGCAGATATGACATATTTGCCTTATTTTGAATCGTCATGTGACGACAATGCATTTCCTCCCACATAACAAGCAGGACTCGTCCTCCAAGAGCTATCGGAGCCGCTGCCTGCGAGCCAGCCCTCAGTACACTGAGCGGAACAGTCCTTTGTCTCAGCTGGGCTCCAGCCATCAGGCTGTACCAGCTCCAGGTGTATAGCTATATGTCCTCAGGTTGATACTGCATGTAGTACTCCTCATAGGCAATGGATGGAGCCAGTGGTCAACAACACAACTGTCCGCCTCCTCCTCAGTGGCAGGAAAAAGACGTTTTCTACCTCCTGTATTTAAGTCGTACAGAGGTAGATTTTCTGTGGTGACACCAGCGCCCAGATTATGAACTCAACCCCATCTAGACAATTTTTAAAATATTTGCACAACACAAAGATTAACCCATTGCATATGCTTTGTTTTTCTAATCCTATATATGTATGCATATCATTTGTTCTTTCCTCTTTAGAGTGATTGATCACCTTGATGGAAGGAGACACCTCAAATATCCTGTTCGTTTTATTGTAAAGGTTTTTGTCATCAAATGTGAAGGTATGTTTTAAATTCTAGCCATCATAGTTTTGCTTTCTTTTTCACTTTCATGTTTAGTAATTCATACAAATAATGTGAATAATGTAGTGTGTGCTGTCATTTTCAGTCTTTTTTTTACAGAGTAAAGACATGGATCAAGGAGGAGGAGTGTTGGAGCTACACACTCAGGAGCTGAAGATGCCCCATGCTATGATCATGCAAGATTTTGGTAGGTGCTTAAGCAGTACAAGGTAACGAACATGTGTGTCATTTCACAATGCAACTTCTAATTGACAAAACAAGTGTAAATACAGCTAATGGCAAAAGCTGTAAAAACTAATACCTGTCATTTGTAAAAGCACGATTTTTAGACTTTGAGTTATTGGCTTGAATCAGTTGTGCCAGCACAGTTGACGGTGAAAATGCCATTTAGGTAAATCACCTCGCTAAATAATTCACTCAAAGAAACATTACATGGTCACTGTGACATTTTCACTGCGTAGTAATAACAAAAAGATGACCCACCTACACCAACGTAACTAAAGTTGTAGCTTTAACTGTCATTTTGAAACTCTTTTTCATGTAATCCTTTTGTGTCTTATATTCACAGTTGCAGGCATGGGGGGTCTGGCTCACATCGATGGGGAGCACATTGTGGTGTCGGTGCCTGAGGGCATGCTTCTTTCTGATGTGATGACGGACGAGGGCATCCTCCTGGAGCATGGACTTGAGGTGGAAGGCTTGGAGACTCAAGTGGTTCAAGGCCTCGAGACAGAGGTGGTTGAAGGACTGGAGACCGAAGTAGTGGAGAGCTTACATGCAGACGTAGAGGGCTTGGAGGCAGAAGTAGTCGAAGGGCTACAGACACAGGTCGTAGAGTTGGAGGCTCAGGTTGTTGAGGGCCTAGAGGGTGAGGTGGAGGTGGAGGGCCTTGAGGCACAAGTAGTCGAGGGCCTGGAAACTGAGGTAGATGTAGAGGGCCTGGAAGCTCATGTTGTTGAAGGTCTTGAGGAGGAGGTGGAAGTGGAGGGCTTAGAAGCTGAGGTTGTTGAAGGCCTGGAGGTAGATGTGGAAAGTCTGCAGTCTCAAGGCGTAGAGGCACATGAAATAACCAGTGAGGACATGGTGCCTTCAGAACACAGCGTGATCATGCCTGAAAATATTCTGGGGACAGAGGTTGCAATAGAGGAAGCTCTAGACGCCCATCACCACCATGTCCTAACCTCAGACCTCATCCAGGACTCAAACCACCACCACGATGACATGCCAGACCAGGTGTTTGTGGCAGAGTTATTGTCTGAGCACCAGGACAACACACTGGACCACGAGCTTGTGTCAGAAGGGTTGATGGTGACGGAGGCAAATTCTGAGACCATAATCCATGAACAGCTGCCAACTGAGGCTGTTCCCCTGCAGACTGATGAGGACGATGATGCAAGAAGCAGCTCTGAAGATTACCTCATGATTTCCTGTAAGACTACTTGCTGTATAAACAACTGAAATTATTAAACATTCCTTTTCTAAATCTTTTTACATAACCAGTGGTGTTTGTTTTGTTGAAGTGGATGAGGTGGGAGAGAAGTTGGACATAGGAGACACTCCTCTTGAGATCAGTACGGAGGTAATGGAAGACAAGGAATCCAAAGAAGAGGACGGCTCTGAGGTCATCAAAGTCTACATCTTTAAAGCTGAAGCAGATGATGATTTAGGCAAGTGGCCTCTTCCTCTGTGTGCTTTGAAACACATAATTTTTTCCGACATAAAAAATTATCCCTAGACCTGTCCCTGTGAAAATTACTGTGGGTCATGGCAGTGACAAATTGTGTTTCTTTTTCCAGGTGGAACAGAGGTAATCACAGAAGATGACTACCAGAATGGCCACCCTGATCTGGAAGCAGCATCATCGGGCAGGCTGGGAGTTGGCCGTGACAAGATGGTCTACATGGCAGTCAAGAACCACCCAAAAGAAGAAGAGGATGATGAGGATGACAGCGATGATGATGACGACGATGACATTGGTATGTTCCAATTGAGATACACAGTATGTTTAAAATGTAACCATAGGGTCAAGCGAACTTTCTTTCTAAAATGCTTTTTGTAGATTTCAGAATGAAAGTGAGATAAAACAGTGTCTATCCTTTTGTAATATAAACTGTGACAATGTCTGTGCAGGTAACACCATTGATCAGGTGAAGAATGGAGCTGCTACACCTTTTCTGCAAATCCGCGAGGGCTTGGGAACAAATCGTGCCCTCAAACCCAAAGCTAAGAAAAAGAAGAAAGGAGAAACACGGCAATGTCAGACTGGTATGATCAGCATATACTACTGATGGGGCATGAGATGATGACGCGAGTGTTTGTGTTTCATTTCCAGAAACACTGATGATTTGATCAGTTTTACATATAAGGACAGTTGATCATAATTTCCATGCTATTTCTTTCTAATTTTCTTGCAGCTGTTATCATTGGACCAGATGGAATGCCTTTGACTGTCTACCCTTGCCACATCTGTGGAAAGAAGTTTCGGTCACGGGGCTTCCTCAAATGCCATATGAAGAACCACCCGGACCATCTGCTTAAGAAGAAGTACCAGTGTACAGACTGCGACTTTACCACCAACAAGAAGGTCAGTTTCCACAACCACTTGGAGAGTCACAAGCTTTTGAGCCACAACAGTGAGCGATCTCCAGAATATACTGAGTACACACGGCGCTACCACGAGTCCAGCCCCCTGGGTTCGGACAAACTCATCGTCAAGGACCGGGAGCCCAAACTGCATCACTGCAAGTACTGCGATTATGAGACAGCTGAACAGGGTCTGCTCAACCGTCACCTCCTGGCCGTGCACAGTAAGAACTTTGCACATGTCTGTGTCGAGTGCGCCAAAGGCTTTCGTCACCCGTCAGAGCTGAAGAAACACATGCGGACCCACACAGGCGAGAAGCCCTACCACTGCCCGCACTGCGAGTTTCGCTGTGCAGATCAGTCCAACCTAAAGACTCACATCAAGAGCAAGCATGGTGCAGATCTGCCTTTTAAGTGCAGCCACTGTCCCCAAGCTTATGCTGATGCACGGGAACTCCAGCGTCATATAGAGATGGTGCAAGGCCACAAGACCCACCAGTGCCCGCACTGTGAGCACAAGAGCACCAACTCCAGTGATCTGAAGCGTCACATTATCTCAGTTCACACTAAGGACTTTCCCCATCAGTGTGATGTATGTGAGAAAGGCTTTCACAGGCCCTCAGAGTTGAAGAAGCACGCGGAGACGCACAAGGGCAACAAGGTGCACCAGTGCCGGCATTGTAACTTCAATGCTCCCGACACTTTCACCCTGAGTCGCCATATCCTGTCCTTGCATACAAAGGACCTCCCTTTTAAGTGCAAGCGATGCCGGCGAGGCTTCAGGCAGCCTGCTGAGCTGAAGAAGCACATGAAGACACACAGTGGTAGAAAGGTTTATCAGTGCCAGTATTGTGAGTATAACAGTACGGACGCTTCTGGCTTCAAACGCCACGTCATCTCAATTCACACCAAGGACTACCCCCACCGCTGCGACTACTGCACCAAGGGCTTTAGGAGGCCTTCAGAGAAGAGCCAGCACATAGCCAGGCATCACAAAGACATGTTGATGTAATGTCATCGCACACACACAAACACACTCCTCTTTTCCGAGTAAATCTGTGTCACACACCCAGAGGTAATTTTAGTGTATTAACAAAGAAATGACGGATGCAGGCAGTTGATAAAGGCAACAACATTATATTTGCTGTTCTGTGTTCTGTGTTGTATTGCGTATACACCTCCTCCCCCAGGAGTAATGCAAGAACACATTTTAGATGGGGGTGAAGTCTACAAAAGACCGTGTGCACACTGAGTGGGACAGCTGTAAATTGTCTTTTGTTGCAGAAAATCACATATGAACATATATTCAGGGTTTCAAATGTCTATATTTTTATACCCACTCAGCTGAAATGCTGCAAGATGATGACTGTGTCTTGTAAAACAGGCGGTGCTTTCTGAACGTCATGCTAGTTCTTCAGATGATGTGGAACGAGTACAGAAGAAGTTTGCCTCCATTGTACCAACTAGTATCTTCCTTATTAACCAGCTTTTACCCTGACATTTGTTTTCAATGCCATGTGGTCTTTAATGGACAGGGCCATCTATGTTCAAAATGGGTTTTCATTGATGTTGACAAACAATGCATCTTGAAAAGATATTTCATTAAACCTAACAGCTGAACTTTCATCATTTTGGATTTTCCTCCCAAGCCTAAACACTTGGAGTTCCATTAAATTATCATGTATAAATAATATAGACTATATTCTGTTAAATATGTCTTAAAAGTTGAATCAGAAATTTTCTGGTCTGGTCAACATTGTCTAGCACAGAGAAGAGTGCAGTTGGTTTATTAGAATATCCCTTTAGTGTACACATTTCTGACACAGAAATCCACGATTACATCTGCTATGATGGTGCAGATAATTGACCGGTGTATTATTATTACATGAACTTGACAGATGGTTGGCTTCACGTTTAATAACCCCTGAAGTGGTTATATCCGACTGCCACTGTAAGTTGCATATGTGTGATGTTACCTGACACAGATGTACTCTCAGCTAACCGTTTGATTGCAATCATGCCTTACATCTGTTGGTCTTTATCCCTTAAGCACTGATGAACACAGCTAATCAGAAAATAAGTGATTTTTAACTCTCAAACATGCTGTATCAATGCCATTCTCTCAGAGATTATGTGTTTGAGTCAGTAGAAAGCACTTTAATCATTTTTTTTTCTTTTTTTGTATTTTAATGACATGTATGGGATTTTATTGTCTAGGAATATATCTGTGCATTCCTAGATAATAAACACATACAGAGCTTTGTGAGTGGGTAAAGGTGAAGATTCTTTTGAGTGTTATCTCTAGCAAGTGGGCACGATCCATTACTGCATCACAACTGAATTGTCATTGACAGCGGTGGGTGAAACCAGTTATTGTTTTGTTCTATGGATAAGTGATTGGGTTTTGTGTTTTGTTTGTGCTCACTAACAAGTTTCCCAGACACTAGTCCTCCAGTCCCAAATAACCCAACCCAATCCCAGACATGGGATTATTTCCTTGAAGTCAGTGGTCATCATATTGGCATTAGTCTTTAAAGTATGCACATATGCTGTCTCCATGAAATTAATTGTGGTATATATTAAAAATCCCTGCATTTCGTGTACCTTAGTCTATATTTTCTTTCAGTCTGATTGTGGATAAACTACTGGTGGGGAAGAACCAAAATAAACAATTATCTTTTTACTCTTTTTTTGTACTTTCTGTCCCAATAAGAAGAAAAGGCCCATTTAGAAATGTTCTCACCCTTTAACACATACAGATGCACATATAGAGCTAAATAGATTTGGCTTTAGCAAATCTGTATCGGGTTAAAGTGACATCAGCTGTGGGTTTTTATTTCAGATAATCCTTTGAAGTTAATAGGAACAAGCAGAATATAGATAAAACTGTGCCATACATTTGTATTTCGATCATAAGGTTTATAGGCCAGTTTGATACAGAGTACATTCAGGACCAAACATAGTTTGGACTAATTTGATTAATTTGTTGTTTATAATAATTAATATGAATATGATTTACCCAAATCTCACATGAGCACGTCTGTAACTTTTTAACACCTAACAACTACCTTTAGTTGAGGCAGCCTCCTCATCAGTTTTGGGTTCATAGTGACCCCTCAAGTACCGTTTCAACATTTGCAATGATTGTGGAACTTGAGGCAACCCTTGATAAATGATGAAATATGCCCGTAAGTCTCACTAAATCTGCGGTTCTGAAGCTGGTTACTAAAAGGGGATTAAAAGTTTGCTTGAGTCTCAGTGCATCGATACACGTACAGTATCTGTGCATTGATGTCGGGTTTAGTGTGTCAGAAGGCAGAGCTTTATCTCACATTCGCTATCTTTTCCTCTTTAGCTCTGAAATACAGAAACAGTAAAGCCTTCCAAAGTTCAGCACTTTCAGTTTAACTCATTTTGAGCTTGCAGATAAATTTTTGATTTTTTTTTCAGCTGCAATGATGCAATCTTGCAGCATTAAGAGCATCTCCAACTCAGCAAGTAGATTCTGTGGGTACTGTACAAGCTGAGGTGCTTCAAAGGGAGTCGGAGCCTCATTGGCTTTGGAAAGAAAAAAAAAGCTCAGACAGCAGTGAGGGGAAAGTTATCGGACACAGTTGCACAGTTCTCAACCCTGCGGTGAATCTGAATTAGTTTTCCCCAGCAAGTTAGAGGCCACATTCAGTGAGTTTTATCTGATTGTAGGAAATCAGCACACTTCATTGCATCTGCTTATCGGGCTGATTGATGTCGGCATCATGTGTGGGTCACAATACAAGTTTAATTTGCATTGAACTGAAAAGAAGCTAATGGGCTGAGAAGCAGTTTGATTGTATCACCGATCGACTACTATTATTACAAGTGTCTAGATGTTAGAAAGACTAAATGGTCTCTTTTCACAGCAGCCGTCTTATCTTGTCACAACAAAGACCCTGAAAGCGAAGCAGCTACATGAAATTCAGCCATCATTTCTGTCATTATTTACATTTTTGATTTTCCTGTTTCTGTTTCATCAAAAACACTTTTTTGAAAAGGCATGTTATATTTACATCACATGTACCTCCAGAGCTGTCAGCATTGAACTACTGCACACTGACTCAACCACAAACTTAATTAAATGCACAACATTTACACAGAGATTGACATGTTGCCTGTTTAAATAGTAAATCTAAAAGTGTTGTGAGGATGCCACAAGTAGCTCAATTAATACGCAGACAGAACAAATTGCCATCTTGACGGTGTTTAGCGCGGCCTCCTTTTTTCCTTTTCAAACAGCAGCTGTTCTCTTAGGTACACTTGCATACATTTTTTCAGGTTACTTGTCCGGTAGTTTGATGATGCAACTTGGAGAAATAGCCACAGTTCTTCTGTGGTCTTACTGTGTCTCGGTGTCTTTTGCGTCTTCATGTAATCTCAGACTGACTCCGTGGGGTGGAGATCGGGGCCCTCAGGGGGTCACGCCATCTGTTGCAGGACTCCTCACAGAAAATACTTTGTATGACTTTATGACTTAAACCGATCCTGATGGTATTATATGATAGATCTAAAAATCGAAAGCCTCAAAACCTTTTGAACACTGCCAATAGTGTGATGTGAACACTTTACAGCAGCGGTCAATTACAAACGGTTTAAATAAATACATTTAATTCCATTTTTAGAACTTAAACTTCAACCAGTAGTTGCTTCAGATTCAGTGAATTTCTTTAATTTGCTTCAAATTCAGACCACAGACTTCAGAACTGAGAGAAGAGAAAGATCGATGGGAGATGCTTATGAATGTTGGACCACATTTGTCAAAGTCGAATACATGATATATTTTATAGAGAAGATCTGATTTGTTTGGGTAAGGCATCAGAGAAGGAGGAAACAAATGGGCCGATTAAAATATTTGGGTGTAATCGCTGAAAGAGATGGAAGGCGGTGACTGAGTCAGGAAGAAAGTGGAGTAAAGTGATTCAATTAAAAAGTCTGCAGAAGTAACGGGGGTGTGTGGGCTGCGGGTTAAATGTCCACTTTTAATTTCATTAGTGTGTTGTGCATTTGTTGGGTGTCAACCCTAACTGTTTATTCAATAGTCTCATTATTAAATAAACAACTGCATCTCCGGCCTCCGCTGAAGCTCTCAGAGGGTTTAACTTGTTGTAACACACTCTGTAAAACCTCGCTGAGATGTGTCTCAGATGTGTCCTGTCCTCTCAGTTGGATGTCACCTGTCATGAAAGATGTATGATGTCTGATACTGAGGGAAATGAGGCTGTGCAGGTGGGTTCACATGGGCGCCGCCAGCGCCTCAGAAAATAGATGCAACAGCCTGTTCATTTTTTGTTGATCCCACTAAACAGCTCATAAATCACTCACTGATGCCGCTGTCGGTGGAAAACCGCTGAGGTTGCGGAGATCAATATGCAGACATATCTATAAAATCCTACCTAAGTAACTGTGCTTTTGTCACTGTCGCATTATGCATTATATCAACTCAGTATGAGGAGCATGTGCGGTTGTTTTTCTCCAAATTCATGCTGTTTTTTTTCCCCCCCCAAGCATCAGCTGTAAGCACATTTTTCCATTTTCCTCTCTGAGTATGCTGAAGCGCTATCTCTCGCTCCCATGGGTTACAAGCCTCTTCTCTGCTTGTTTTGAATCAGCAGAGCATCAAACGCACACACACACACACACACACAGTGCACCTAACAGCCTCAGAAGGCCATCACAGTGATGAGAATTGACAGACGTGTACAGATAATCCAGCCGTTGCAGAAGGTCAAACTAATTTATTTGATGTAGTCATTTTGTCCATATTTCCCAGGATCAATGGGCTGTGGTGTGGATGCGATTAGAATAATGAAACCAACCAGTAGAAATTCAGGGTCACATGCTGATGTGCAGTGAGTTAAAAGGTGAAGATTCATACAGAAATGGTGCAATTTTAGTAACTTAATCATTTTCAGTCACTGGCAGGGGTTAATTTGTTTGCAGCGCTTCCAAATATGTGAATATGGTTCTGCATGGGAGCACATTGTTTGGGATATTTGGTTTTGGACTCTGCAGGATTCTGGCGTTACACAGCATATTGCTCTTGCATATTTCAGTAAAGATGAACAGCAAATGTCTGTGTCATCGACTCATAACGCTGGCAGACCGTGCTGCCACATTACCTCCAGATCCTGTGGTGGCCCACATAACCAGAGTCTTCCAATCCAGATTGTCAGCGACAAGGCTGCGGCGCTGAAAGCCAGCTGGAGACTGCGGGGCCCTCGGGGAAATCAGTGCCAGATTGCTTGGAGACGGGCAAAATTGGCCCGCTGATTAGTCAGTGAAAGGTGGTTGAGTACACATGACTGAAATAGAAAAGAGAGGGAACGATAGCTTAAACAGCAGGCAGCCTGTTGACTGGGTTGACTCACCCATGTTATCTACAGGTGTGTTTAAAACTTAATGTGAAAATGGTGTGTGAACGTTAGAAAGTGGATCTTGATTTTCAGATTTCAATTATTATGCAAACTTCTATTATGTATTTTAGGTAAGATCCCAAGAAAAAACTGGTAGAGTTGACATTGTTTAAAAAAAATTTAAAAAAAGAAAAGATATCACCATTTTTAGCAATGAAATGAACTGAAGCTCTTTAAATTCAGTATTTTGTCACTGCTTTCATAAAATGACAAGTGGAGTTTTCACACATAAAAATACCTTTTGAACAATAATGATTTATGTCAGATACATTTACACAATAAAATTTCAATTAGGACCGTGTCCATTGCTACAAATGCAAAAAAATTAAATCTCTGTAGTTCTAACTCCTTTCTGTGCTTCAAAGTCACACGTTTACAAGTTTTTTTCAATCCCATCCTACCTTAAAATGGTCCAGATGTAACTATGTACTCTTGTCTGCTCTAAAATGCCCAAACCTGTGGAGCACCCATCTGTCTCACCATCCAGCACTCCCACTCGCTGCAGCTTAAGCACACCAGCTCACCTACGACTCTGCTTCAACACTGTAAAAGTATTCTATGCTACACAACAGCAAGTTGTAATGTTAGTCATTTAGCCGTATGTTTAAACCAGAAATCGAATCTGGAGATGAATAATGATACAGTAGGCCCCGTACTGCAAGTTCATTCATTCATTCATTCATTCATTCATTCAGAAGCGGAGCGGTTTGTAATTACAGTTTTCAGTTGACCTACAAGTGTTATTTAGTCCTTGGTGTCAGATGTTTCAGGTGTGTACAGCACAGAGTTGACCTGCCGGCCTTTTCCATACAATAAGCAGCGACGAGTAGAATAAGTTTCCTAAGTAATGAGTTTTAGAGCAGAGTGGTGGAGGAGGCAGAGGTGTGTCTGCAGATGACATCACCAAACCACACGAGAAAACGACCTCAATTATCCAATTTCTACCGAACATGGGGAAATTAGCTACATTTCAAGATTCAAGAGTTTTTATCTGTGACATGCTCGTGTGCAGTGAAATGCAGAACTTCCTCAAAGCTTCAATAAAAACAATAGAAAGAAGACATAAATAATAAGGAGGTAGAGCTTGTGATGCTGCATTGTGCAAGAGTACAGTTATGTGTGTGTGTGCCTACACCTGTTTGTTATTTACAATGCCCCAGTGTGCTGTAGCTGACAGATTTCTGCACAAATATCCATTTTTTTGTTAACAGAATTGGTTCCTTAGGCGTGTTTGTCAGATGGTCATCAGTACATTTCAAGGTGGAAATGCTCCACCGTGGTGTTGACTGCTTATTTCACTCACAACCTGTCTTCCAGCTTATAAAAAAACATCACGTGGACATGTTAAAGGTAGAACAATATATATATTTAATAATTAAATATCCCCTGTTAACAAACACAAGGTATGGTGAAACAATAATAATATTTATCTCGTGTTTTTAGGCAGATAAAATCTCATTAAAATCACATCTACTGCAGAGTAGCCAAATACTTTTTTCATGTTAAAGGTTGAACTGCTGGAAACAAGACATCTCCTACTTCAGTGAAAAGCCCATCCTCAGTGTAAGTGGCCTTGAGCTTTCAAGTTCCCACATCACAGTAGTCGGGCTGCATGCTCAGATCAGATAAAGTCAGACTGCAGACGAGCAGAGAGAAACTTTTCCCCTCTTCAGCAGATGAATTTGCAGTCTTGCGGCAGCTCTGCTCATAAATCATTCTGCACAGCGAAGGTCAAACATCCCAGCGAGGAAACACATTCATCAGCGGAGGTGCATTTCGACTGGAATGTTTAAATCTTTTTTGTATTTGTCATTAGAATCCCATGTTGTCAATGTTCTGTAAGAGATTTTTTTTTTTTTTTTACCTCTTGAGTATTCACTAGATGTCACTGTTAACCCACCCTTGTAGGAGACTGCACTCATCATAGCGAGTGTTCCCAAAAATAAATGCATCACCAGCTCTGAGTCACTGGATTGATTCCTGCAAACTTGGGCACAATTTCCTCAAAATAAATAAATAAAAATCACAGTTTATTTTTGTGTGAGTGGCAAAATTGGGGGCAATGAACATTTCAATAAAAGCTTTAAATGAAATTGCACAAAAAAAAATATGATTACCCTAATTACAAAAACCAGCTCCAGGAGATGTCCTGCCTGTCTCCACTGTCTCCTGGAGGACTCAGGGGGGGATGGATTTTGACCTGGATCACGGCAGAGGCGCGTCACCGTGGGTGGGCGTGGCCAACCGGGAGGAATAACGCTGTATCCTCCGTTACGCTGCAGTTCAGAGTTACAGTCTGACACGAGCCGGGAGCGCAGGGACTTCAGGAGCCGACCAGCTGTTACCTCCACACCCCCCCCACCATCAAGTGATGGAAAAGACGGAGCTCTTTCTGTACACCTTCCTCGTCTCTCACTACATCTGGAACATCTTCTTCATCTCGTGGCTTTTCAGCAGCGGGACACCCACGGCTCTCACCAACTATGGATTGCCTAATTGAAGTTGGGCCACCTGATCCTGTTTGCGCCAGGACAAGCGAGCAACATTAGAGCGAGAGAAGTCGTTATGAGCGGGTGTGTAAAGAAAAAAATGCTGCAGTTCCTGCTCAGAGAACTGGTGTGAAAAGCAGAATTTCCTCCTCAGGATATCACATCTCTGCGCGTAAAGGACATAACGGATTCAATTCGCCGCCGCCTGAAATAATCTGTGATATGTTTTAGTAATTAAGAGGAAAGCTGTAGTTAGAATAGAGCTTGTGCTTGTGTAACTGCTGTTTTTTTTTTTTCCTGGGCTTCTTTTTTTTTTTCTTTTTTCTTTTTTATGCACGCATTCCAATTGTGCACCGCGTTTTAGCCGCTTCACTGCCACAGACAGCAGGACCTGGAATCTTTGACAGGCAACAGGCCACACCAATCACTGTGGAGGGTTGTGCTGAGAACACTGTCGAGTCTTTCACTAACTTTCAGCACAACCGAGAGAGTTTTTAAAGCTGCACCAGCACAGCTAGAGTGAACCATGGCTTTACCAGACAGTGGCATCTCTGGGGAGGAGGTACCCTTCCCAGAGATCATAGAGCTCAACGTTGGGGGCCAGGTGTACATAACCCGCTACTCGACCCTCACTAGTGTGCCGGACTCTCTGCTGTGGGAGATGTTCAGTCAAAAGTCAACCAAAGGACTGGCGAGGGACACCAAGGGGCGCTTCTTTGTGGACCGGGATGGTTTCCTGTTCCGTTACATCCTGGACTACATGCGGGACCAGCAGCTGGTTCTTCCGGACCACTTCCCCGAGCGCGGCCGTCTGCAGAGGGAGGCCGAGTTCTTCAACCTGCCAGAGCTCGTCAAGCTGCTGGCGCCCAAGATCAGCAAGCAGAACTCCCTGGGTGACGAGGGATGCCAGAGCGACCCAGAGGACTCCTCACCTGGGATTGACACGGCCCGTAACCTCGGCTCCCTGGGCGCCGCCGCCGCCGCCTGTGCCAGCCTGGTGCCCGGCGCCATGGACGGCAAGCGGTCTGGGTTCATCACGATCGGCTATCGAGGCTCGTACACCCTCGGTCGCGACAGCCACACCGACGCCAAGTTCCGCAGGGTGGCACGGATCATGGTGTGTGGGAAGACCTCCCTGGCCAAAGAGGTGTTTGGGGAAACACTGAACGAGAGCCGCGACCCCGACCGCCCCCCTGAGCGCTACACGTCCCGCTACTATCTCAAGTTCACCTTTCTGGAGCAGGCGTTTGACAAGCTGGCAGATGCAGGCTTTCACATGGTGGCCTGTAACTCCACAGGAACCTGCGCCTTTGCCCATGAGCAGACGGACGACAAGATCTGGACCAGCTACACTGAATATGTGTTCTACCGTGAGTGAGACTATCGGCTTTGTTCCCCCCGGTCCCCTCACCCTGTCTCCAAGAGCCCTCCTCTCCCCTCCAGCCTCCAGCCATCCTGTCTTTCTCTCTTTGATGGCCTCTGCACCAGTAGATGTACCGTAGATGTTGTGCCCTTCCATCTCTCTTTGCAGCTTTTATCCTGTGAACAGTACCCCAACCGTCGCTCTGACTCTTCATACCTTCTCTGCAGGTCCGATCTGCAGCCTTCCCCCCTTCAACCCCAAATCCAACCCCCTTCTTCAGCCTCAGGTCCAGCTTTTGCCCCCCTGCTTAAGCCACTGCTCCATCTAGTTGTAGTCCCCAGTCCTCAACCACAGCAACCCCACATCCTCTCCTGCAGAGACTGAAACCTTCTATGTACTATTCCCATTTTTTGTACTCTCTATATATTGCATCTGCCTTGGTGAAGCACAATACTGTATCCAAGAGCTAATTTTGTTAAATAAGCGCCCCAAGTGTGTCTTTATGACTACTGAACCAGTCATAAGGGCATAAGGGAAAGGGCTTCAAAGAGTTGCCATGATGTACAGTGCTATACTTTGCCTGCTTACATGAGCAGATCGGACTCTCGCCTGCTCCTCTGAACTAAATTACCAAATAATTGGACATCTTATCAGCCTTGAGGGACGTGAGCAGCCCCAGCACAAGAAACAAGTGTAATCGAATTTCCCCTCAGTTTTTATTAAATGTGTCCAGTACCATGTGGTTTGGGAACGTGCCATAGTGAAGTGTGTTCAGTCGTTGTTTTGAATGAACGAGGGGTTATAACGCAGCCACACGGACAGGAAAAGAATGAACTTTTTTTTTTTTTTCAGGGAAAAGTAGAATGTAGCTGCGTGGAGTTTCCTCTTACAAAGAGACAACAGCTTTGTGGCGAACGTACAAGCAACAGGCTTTGATGAAAAACGATGAAAGCTCAGATGTCAAGAGATCTGAAAGACAGAAAAAAAAAAGGTTGCCGAATGAAGTGTGTGTATTGATTGTGCAATGGAGCTCTCAGTATTTTAATCAGCCACACTGGGAGGGCAGAGGAGAGGGAAGGTGTTACATCACTCACAGCCAATTGCTCTATTTTTTTTCCCCTCATTGTGCTTCTTTGACATTTCTTTCTTCATATTAAAGAGCATTTTTACAGTTCCTGGGGACAGGCTTACACCATGACTTCTTGTTGTTTGAAAAAGTTAAAAAAAAAAAAAAAAAAAGGTAGTGGTGGTAGTCGCCATAGCGGATCATGTTTTGAGTGTTCTGTAAACAATAATGTTATTCTTAATACTCGGTTCAGCATTAGTTGAAGCTGCTGCATATTTGATGATAGCTCTCACTTACTGTAAGTGAATACCCATGAGAAAGGGTAGGATTACGCTGTAGCCAGCCAAAGCCCAATGTGTTTTTTTCTCACCACTGTAGCAAAGAGCAGCGTGAGGGCAGTTTATGGTGACTGGGTATAACTTAGGTTATAAAGGGGCGAGTTAAAGAACGAGTGTTGTTTTGCAGATACAGCCTCAGGACAGGTCTGCACATCATATACCTCAGACTACAATACAAACTGAAGACACTTCTATCCAAGAAAGGATCCAGCAGATTACGGGGGGGAAATGCAGACGCAGTTAGGAAACGTGTAGATGCTGTAATAAGATAATGAGCAAGACGTTTTTAAAAGGTTGAGAGCCAGTCAGCGAGGCAGTGTAGTGCAGGATTGCACCTGAGCTATAAGGTGTCAGGTTGTAGTTCAGTGTCTGACAGTGACAATAAATGTATTCTGAAATGTCTAGACATCGCAATATTGTGTTTCAGTGTGATGAAGTGCTGTTGACATCTGAGTCAATATGTTAGAGCCGCTGCAGTGTGTCGCTGCAGACGTAGGCAACACTGAAATTAAAAGTGTCCAGCGAAAAAGCAAATTTGTCAAATAAAAGATGTTTTCTTTCTATTCTGGTTGTATTTTCCATTCATAACAACAACAACAAAAATGCTTTTTTTTCTCAAGTTTGAAAGGCAAGGAAGGAAGGAAAAACAAGGCCAAAAGCCCTCCTAATAACGCAAGCCAAGTTTTTGGTTTTTTCTTAATTTTCAACAACAATACACCTCAATCACCCAGTACACCAGTTCACATTTACATCTCAGCATTTCCAATTACAGGAAATGTCCTTGGACATAGCTCTACTTCTTATTAAATGTTCAGCACTCCACCCGCAGGCACAGTTTCCCTCATCCTTCCATCTGCTTTTTCCACTTTTTTTTTTTTCCTCCACATTTTTTCCCTCTTTTTTTTCTCAGCCCGGTCTTGCGTCAAGCACTTGACCAGAAAACAGAGCCAGGATAGAAACGAGGACATGCATAGATAACAAGCTCTGTTAAAGCAGATTACAAAACCCCTTATTTTGTTGCCAATAATTGACCTAATTACTTTGCACAGTAAAAAAATCGTGAAGAAGATTGGATCTAAAATTCAGAACTGATGAAGTACTTTAGTATTCAAGGCTTCCTGCAGAGTAACAATTTGCTGATTTGTAAAAGATTACAAATGACATTTGTTTGGTGCCAATATGAACAGTATTTTCACTGAACACAGCCGGCAAGTTAGGGTCACAGTTATATTTATGTAGGTTAGACAGTGTCATGTCATTTTTAAACCCTGGCTTATGTACATTTTCTACCAAGAGATTATCACATGCTAATTACATTAGAATAAGAAACCTGATCTCTGTCTGGCCTAGAAAAAAAGCATAGCTGGCGAGCTTCGCAGATAGTTGTGAAAACCGTATGTGGCTCCCTTCCTGGACAACAGATGATTTTTTGTCTGGGATGCCTGACGAATCCTCAGAGACCAGGACAATACAGTGCCTGCAGTGTGGCTCCAACCCTAAACAAACAGTCACAGGCAGCGTTCCTCTGTCGCTCTAATCCGGCACACCGCTGCAACGCAGGAGTGCCAAGGTCAGTCATTAGCACAAGCATGGAGAGACACGCCTCATGTGTGAAATTTCAGGCATCGGTGCCCCGAAACGCTCTCCGTCTTCACCTCCACGAATTGCCTTGAGACTCAACATTCAACAGTAGATGTGTGAGAAGTGTTGACCCGTAGACGTTGAACAGCAGCAGCGGTGAGATGCACAAACCAGATTGTGATGAAATGCTGCTTTTTTTCCCCCCCTCTTCTTCTTCTTCTTCTTTTTTTTTTTTTTTTTAAATCTCTGTTGTGAAACTTGTGGCTGAAAAAAGTGTAGCATGCCTGCTTGTGTGCCATATAACAAGCAGGCTGTAGTGGTGTCACCATAGTGGTATGCCTGTTCTATCCAGAGTGTTACAATAAAGATATTTTACCATTACTTTTTTTATTTTGCTTCTCTGTCTCTTGGAAAAATCCAAACAGCAGATTGCAATCGATGCAACTGCTCCTCGTCACATTGAGCAAACTTAATTAATTAATCTATTTTTGTTTTCCAAGTTAAGCTTATCAAAACCGACAGATTGTGAGACTTCTTTATCGCAGCGCCTTCGAGCTTCAGGCGGTTATCTGACCCTCGTTGTGCTCCTGTCGCGCTATTGTCACTGTAGGCGGCTCAACATGGCAACATGCTCTGGGCCGATCTGCTTTCCGCTCTTAGAATGATCCTTGTCTCGTGGCCAGCTGGGTCACCGCTTCCCCTATTTGGAAAAAGAAAAGGAAGAGAGCAGAAGAGAACAGGAACGGATGTACGTCAAGGGGGGGGATTGGAAAATGGAGCAAGGAGAGACAGCAAAGTTGATAAAAATGAAAGGAGACTGGAGCGGTATTTAACTGACAAGGATTTCCCATCTGATCTCTCTTCCCGAGCAACTCCAGCATTAAAGCGTCCCGTTATCCCTCGCTGGGACGTGCTGTCATGTGTTTCTGCGTGGCTTCGTCAGCAGAGATGTTCTGTTTCGCTGCACCAAACAGATATAGGTCCACGAGTACACTCAGTATGTTTAATATCGATCTATAGTACATCAACAGCAAGTGGAAAACCAATATTTACTACCAGAAAGAAATGTTATTCCCCATCTCATCTGTATGTGAATCATCAGCTGTGCATTTAAACTGACTCAGGCTCCCAGATTACATCTTCTTTTATGAATAGACACACCGCATGCAGGAGAGCGACAACTCAGAGTGACTCATTTTCTCAACATCTTATCCTGAGTGTACTATCAGATGTGCTGCTCTTTCTGCTCATTCCGCACATTCAGCTGCCGCTCCGTGCTTATTTATGTCAGTCTCAATGCTTTTCGTTTTGTGCGCGCCAGTTGATTTTGGCTCTGTTATGGGGTTTTTTTTAACGCTCATGTTTGTGCTTACGTGGGTTTTTTTGTTTTTCGGAGGTCAGGTTGGGTGAGCGTTCGGGGGCCTCGGCGCTGTGTTGGTATGAGAGCCACGCGGGGGCACGAACTAGGTCCACTCCCCGTCTCACAAACATGCTGAGCAGGCAGCTGGCATCTCCAAACACAAACACAGACGCACACATGCACAGAGGGAGGCAAGTTGCTAGGAGAAGATGTGCAACAGCCATCCCCGTGCGGGCCTAATGACTCGTGGGCCGCGAGGTTTTAGATCTAACTGGCTGCCTTCTTTTCACCCTTCTTTGAGAACGGTTAAAAATGCATTAGCAGGCAAACAAGCCATTTACCTCCCTCATCCTCTCTTGACAGCAATAAACAGGAGAAGTACGTGCTAATATAGCAAAGCATCATCGGTGATAATTACCTGGGAGGATGCGGTGGAGAGCTGGAGATAGCGTGCAGCCGCCTGAGGTCTAACACCGTTATCTCCATCAATGCACGGTGTATGTGTTTGCTAATTTGTACATATGTGTATGCTTACGTTGGCTCTGTATTTGTCTTTGACCACAGCATGCTGCCATGTAAGCACACATACAGTACAGTAGCACTGGCTTGAGGCATCTTTATCTCATTGTGTGTTGGGTTATTTATAGTGAGTCGGGCATTGAGCCAGATGTGTACCTTATTCACTGCACCGCTCTGTCCTCCAGCGAGGCTACACATGCTCGGCTGCCCCCGCTCCTCGTCTTAACACACATGTCCTACAGAGAGCATCTGTCACCAAACATATTGGCCCTCCAAACACCAGGGGGGCTCCATCATGCAAGATCGGGGGGGAGGGGGATAGTCGTATCTCTCAGGGGCATCAATGTGGGGCAAGAGCTAGTGGCCAGAAAAGAGGAGTTAAGGTCACTACTCGTGTACAGTAATGCGTCATGTCCACGTTGTCGCTTTATGATTCCCTTTGACTTTTCAGTCTGTTCGCCTTTAAGCCCCGAGACACAGAAAGGATAACTGACAGGGGAAAGCATGAGGGGTGTGCGAAAACACCGAGCACAAGTAGGATGGCAAAGAGGGAGCATTAAATTAGTCATAGAGAGCCAGTCAAAGTGTCAGAGGCAAATTATAGGATAAGGCTAAGCAACAAAAAGGGTAACTGAAGTTCTGCATATACTGTACAGAGACTATAAATATGTGAAGTGGCAAGAGCCATCTGAACGACGGGGAAGATTAGACCAAAACACAGATACTATAGCAGATTGGGCAAAGGCGGGTGGAAGATGGCAATAACTGACAGAGGAAGCAGTCTGCTGAACTTCCCCTACTTAAAAGATGTCACCGATTTCATTACAAATTAAACATTTTGCGCATAAAACAATGTGCTGATGCTACTGCTGGATTTAAAGGCTGTATAGGTGGTGGGATGGTGTCCAACAGCCATGATCTCGACATGAGTTAACTGTCATTGACATTTTTCATTGTAAAACTGTATGCTGTAGCCCACAGTGTGCAGGGTCATTTGTTCTATGAATCAGGTATCACTAAAGTAGTCACCTCAAGCCTTACCAACAGGGCATTTTAGCAGAAAAAATAAATAAATTGTGTCATTTATCGCATTTAATTATTTGTATGTTGTAATGTAAACAGAACTGTGAAGAGCTTTTTTCCACTGTATTGCAGTATTACCTAAGTGTAATATACAAATATTTATTTTCTATTGATTTCTATAGAAGCTCTGCTCCATCTTTACTGATCACTTTTGTCCTTAATAATACAGCTGCAGTATAAATTACAGATAATGAGGACTGACTGTTTTTTTATTAAAATGTCAGTCAGTTTGTTTTTGTGTTGTTATTTGAGTGTTTGTGTCCCACCTCCTTAACTACATATGATAAAAAAAATAGATTAAAAAATCTAGTTTATGTTGCAATAAGTAGCTTTTATTATGAGTACAGAAACCATGAAAGTATTCAAACCCCCTTGGAAATTTTTCTCTGTTATCGCTTTTTAACATTCAATCATTTTGACAGGATTTTTTATTTTATTATTTTGTAATGACTCTTTAAAGTCACAGTAGGAACAGATTTCTACACAGTCATGTCGATTATTTAAAAATAAAAGATGTAAAATAAAGTATTCACACTCTTTAGAATGACTCACTTAATTAAATATAGGTGCAGCTAATCAGTGCTAGAAGTCACACAGTGAGTGAAATTGAGATGGTCGGTGGACAGTGAATGCGTCTCAAATGATTGTAATGTAAAGACACCCGTATGTGGAAGGGCCAGTCACTGCTGAATCAGTACTTCTGGCTGTAACTGAACCAAGAAGACAAACAAACATTGTCATTGCACTTTTAAAAAATGTATATTTATAATTAATCGACAATAGTTTGTAGACACGTGTTTTCACATTGACATGGAAGAGTCTTTTTTCAAATAAAATTCACCAGGATGCAGTTTTGAAAAGCAATAATAGAGGAAAACTTAGATGGAAGGTGGATGTTTTTTATAGGCACCGTATATGTTTCCTGTGTGTTTGAAATCAGCGATGGTTAATTAGGCCGGGGACATTATTTTTCTGCTCTTATGGATGAATAAATCGATCCTTGAAACTTGCTTCTTTAAT